AGGGAAGGTGGGAAATTCATGCTGGCATTGACACAAAGACACAGACATCAGTGAGTGGGAAAGGCAGAGGCCCTTTTCCTCACTGAACTCAGGCATACAACTGGTCCATGACCTTCATTTTCAGCTCCACTGGCTGAGGGAGGATGCAGCAAACCCTCCTCAGTGACCAAGCCCGTGATACATTTGAAATGGAAAAAATACGGGGCATTCCTAGACTCCAAGGACAGCTCTGCTTCCTTTCTGCAATTGACCGGCCTGAAAGAGGAAGATGTGGCCCCCATTCTTTAAAGGAAAAGCGCAGAGGAAAGAGGCCAATCTGGGCTCGTGACTGGACCCCCCTGCCATCGCAGCCCATGAGCAAGCATCATGGTGGTGGCGCTCATGCTCTGAGTCTCACTGAAATGGAATGACTTTGCTGTTTCAACCACAAATGGGAGCCGAATGAAAGTGAAATATGACTGTGCCACCCGAAGCAGGAGGCCACTCTCCTCTTTCCAATGTTTTGACAACATTCAGAGGCTAATAATGTTCACACTTAATATATTCTTCTGGAAGGGAATGGAGGAAACTGCCTATTAATAGGTCACAACACTTCAGCATTCCATTACCCATAGTTCTGCTCTTTTCCATCCACAAGGCAAGCCTCCAATGATAATGAAAGGGTAATACTCTGGTGCCAATATGATTGATCATCAAGATCAATCTGTCTAACTGTCTGAGTATACCCACATCTTCCTCCACAGTATATCTGTAATGAAATAACTCTTGCCACCTTTAAGTCGGATTTATCTCTCAAAATTACGGACTGGGTGCACCTCAGCCAAACCGCCATTTGAACATTAAGGGTAGATTTTGCATTTAGTACTGGATTACTACAGGATCCCGAAAGATAATCATGTAAGCACGATTCCTAATGACTTCATATGAAGTCTTGTGCTGCTGGCAAAGAGAAGAGGGTCAATCAGTCTCATGACTATTATATTGACCCGTTAGTAAGCGAATTTAAGGTGAGCCATTTCTCCTT